TTAATGCATCAATCCATCATCTATCCATCCATCTATCCATCTATCCATCCATCCATCCTCTATCTCTATATGTACCCAGAACAAAATCTAAGCCATTATATAAGCAAGAACTGTTGTTATTCGTGTGGAGCAACTAAAAAGTGTACATATCCCTTTACAGACCCAACAAAAGTGACTGTTCAATAATCACCAAAAGACACATACAAGAATATAGTAGCTTCCTTCATAGTAGTCAAAAAAACTAGGAATACTTACTATATCCATCAACATCAGAATGATAAATCATTATCATATATTCATAGAAAACAGTAATAATTAAGATTAAATTACTGGACTTTACAAACAAAAGAATTTTAAGCTCACAGATGTCATGCTAAACAACAAAAGCCAGCCACAGAAATGCTGGGGATGGTGTAGCTCTAATTACATTAATTCAAAAGCAGACAAAACCAGTCTAGATGTTGTAGGTCAGAACATCATTTGTAGAGACTTCTGACAAGAAACAGAGACTTCTGGGGTGCAGGATGTTTTCTAGACTATGGTCTGAGTATTTACAAACATGTATACACATGTCAAACCCATCATTTTAACACTTCTCAGTATGCAAATTACACCTCAGGAGGAAAAGTTTACAAGCATCAGGTTGACATTATGCTATAATTTAGAATTTAACAATGAGCTAGACTTTGAGAAAATAAATAGTTTTGAATATACTGATACAATGGGAAGCTGTTCGAAGTTTAACAGAAAATGCTCATTAAATAGTAATAAGGGAGATGGGACCAGCAGTTAGTTAAGAGTCCTTGTTGATCTTACAAAGGACCCAAGCTTGGTTCTCAGCAGTGCCTGAGTAGGCTCACAACAGCCTGTAACCCCAATTCTAGGACTTGCCCTTCTCTTGACCAGACTTCACGGGCACCTGCTCTACCGGTGCACCCACACATGCACAGAATTAAAGATGAAATAAATCTTCTAAAACACATTAGCCCTCGCAATGCAATCTTTACGATTTAAGTCTGTGCTTCTCTGTGGTCCAAGCTGCCACTCCGGACCTTCACTAAGACGCAAGCCTCCTCTCAAGCACAAAGCTGGTCTCTGCTGCTGCTGCTGTCCTTCATCTCTCTGCCTTATGCACCTCCACTGAGTCCTGCCCTTCACCCACAGGCCCAACCCTGTGCCTGCCCAATGGTTTATTTCCAACTCAATTTTTGCAAATGCCTTCCTTCCTTCCGGTCATTCTGCACCATCCAGCCCTCCCACTACCAACTGAGCTGAACTCACGCTCCCTTGCTCAGCTCCATTTTCCGAACGGACAACCCTTTTCAAATCTGGACTTGATCCTGTAACTTCTCCACTTTAAATTTGTTAGTGGTTTTTGGCTACTTTAGGGTGCAGATCTACATTTCCAAACACCACATAGAAGACACTGGGAGATGCCCATGTGTTCCCACCGGGTCTTCTGATTGTCAGTCAATGCCTGCCCCCATTTCCACAGCACCCGCTCTTGTACAACAACCAGTGGGAGGCCAACCTTTCTGCGTGGCCCTTTGGAGGTCAAGTGAACTACGGTTCCTAAGAGTTGTCTTCCACTCCACTCTGAGAAGATAATGCCTTTATGTCTGTTTTATCACACTGTTCTCCTAGTGGATTCTAAACCAAGCAGACCAGGGACTATATTACTCATTGCATCGGCCAATGTAAACCCTGTACCATAGTAACTATTCAGTATGTGATTTCTGATTGAAGAAATAATGAGAAAGTATGAGACGATTATTAAACACTGGTCACTAAGACCACGAAGCCACTCTTCTCTTCTGCCTCAGACTTCGAAGGTGCAGGTGGTTAAGGTGCCAGGTAAAGGGACCTTGGGTGGGAGCTCTGGCTAGATGTCATGGAGGAAAACCTTGTCCACGGCTGGACTATTCCACAGTGGGTTGGGCTACCAGCTTCAGAGAGGCAGGAGCAGAAGAATCGTTCAGAAACCACAATGCCCTCACTTCTCTCTTCTGAGTCAATCGATTCTCAACAAGTAAATTGATGGTCTTCTACTCCCTGGCTAGCTCACCAAGGCAGAAACTTCATGGGGCCACTTAGTTCACAAGGTCTTAAGTATCGTTTGGCAAAAAAGTGACGCTAAGCAACTTTGTAAATGACTCCTCCTTAAGTCATTCCATTGGTGCTGTGTGGATCTATGCTTTGAAATTGCTAGGTATATACTGGCCAACTTCAAATAAAAATGTGACTTTAAGGAGAAAGGTTAAAAAAAGTGAGGGTGGATAAATATTTTAATCAATTTAAAATATCTGGTATTCAAAATATTTAATTTCTTGGATCAGAATGATTCTTTTCTAGACTGATCTTTCACGTACAAAACACCAACACATTTACAAAGGAGGCAAAAGTTACATTCTTAGAACACTGTAGTCCACAAATTTTCTACAAGTCAATCCTCCACACACCCCAGTCCTAAATGATAAACCAAGGAAGACTGAGAAAGGCATGCAGGAACATGGCGAGTCTAATTTATCAAACTCAAAAGGCCCCAGAAACTTCCATCAGCTTTTTGACCTTCATGTCCTTGAGACATTCTAGAAAACAGCAGGATAGCAGGCTCTGGAGTCACCATTTGTTTTCCAATTGCTCTCCTACTAGTCCCCTGTGGGGCCTGAGGAAGGTCATGGCCTTGCAACATCTCAGCCTCCTCGTCTGCAAAATTAACACAAACGCAAATCTAGCCTCTATGGTGTTCTACCTGTTAAGTTAATCCATGAAGTGTCCTAATGCTTGATGAGTCTTACCTCTCACTGCCTCCTACCCTGTGACTACACAACACCTTACGGGGGCAACAGTAGTAATCACCTCATCATGAACTTTAGCAAGCAATAGTGAAACTGTGTGACCTAGTCCTGGAACGATCGAGGAAAGCAATTTTTTAGCATTCTGCAGACGCTCTCCAGCTCAGCTTTCCAGAGATGTGCTCTGGTGCGGTACAGACCTGATGGCTATGTTTCCAAAGCTATTGCCGTCAGACAAACAGTTAACACTTTCGCAGAATTAGTCAACAGAATGAACCAAAATACCATTAACATAGGTTGCTCATTTTCCCATACCATTATATAATACAAACTATAACATGAAGTAATACTAAGTTGGAAATGAGTCAGCCACGTGCAAAGGCTCAAAGTGACCCCAATTCTGAGCCTCACCCTTTCTCACAGCAACATCAAACAATAGCCATGCACAGCATCCAGGGAGCTTTGACAAAGCCCAGTTCCGGGGCTCAGTTCTTGACTAGTTCTTTCAAGTTTTCAGTTCCGTTTGCTCTAGCTCATAGATCAAGCCAATTAATCCCTGAACGGAAACAGCCATATCCACCACTCCCTGAGACCTCATCACACACTCAGGAGCCTGCCATGGATCACGCCTTCAGTTCCATGTGCTTTCATTGAGGTTGGAAAGTATCTCTTTACAAAGCCCCTTACCGCACTACCCCGGTAACCACTTGATATTTTATGGGCATGCTCCAAAACAATTAGGGCGTCAGGTTGTAAGGCAATGAAATAAAAGCACAGAGATGTACAGGCTCAATTCCTTTCAAGGTCGTGAGGGCAATAATAAATTAAAAAGTATAGACTACAACTAGAAAAATACTCTTTGGAAATTTATTATTTCCAAGATTAGTTCTCAATACTTGTCTTTAAAGATTTATAATCATCAAATGCCAACTCTATAACCCATTCTACCTGTCAGCGTCAAGCAGTGTTCAACAAGGAACAGAGAAACAGTAAGTATCAGCTTTGCTTGTCCTACTTGCCTATTCTAAATGACAAAATATACATTATTCAATAGTCATCATACAAATGTCTCCATGAATATCTTTTCATTTGCACTGTAATACCAATGACTCGGGTCTCTACATTAAATGTTTCTGAATATTAATTAACATACATGTACATGGTATGACAACTACCAGGAACTAAAACATTCCATCCACCAAATGAACCACAACAGACACCGAAGCACAACGAAAAATATTCATTATTTTATTCATTTACTTACTGGCTACTTTCTAGTCTGAAATTCAGTATTCAATTAATTTTGCCAGGTACAATAACTCCTACCAAAATCGATAGCGGTGATTCACATCACTGCTAAAGATTTGCACTGCACACAGTCTGAAAAGGAGGAAATGGTGGACCGAGAAAACAAAAAGAGAAAAGCAATAAAACGCAGAAATGGTAAGAAATGACTGGAGAGGAAATGCAAGCGGGAACCCAGAAAAGCCTTCTTTCCCCTGTCCACGCTGATCTCTGATCACCAGGGCAGTTTGTGACACCTCTGGAAAGCACGAGAAAGCAACAGTCTTAGCCTGAGAGATCTGAACTCACTAGTGTTGACACGGGACCGTGGGGCAAAGGAGAGCGTGGGAAAGTGAGTTCCATGTTGTGGCTACTGAGCAGCCCTGAATAGATTGGCTGCCGTGGGCACCGATGACGCCCTCCAGAAGGCTGGGAAGACAGGAGCAAGGTGGGCAGTGTCGATACACACACACTATTCCACCCCACCCCCAGACAACCATTTCTATATCCCCCGTCAGACGCCTTGACAAAAAAATGGAAAAATAAAAAGCAGAAATCCCTAACTTAAGCTCTGCATCTTCACCAGCATCCACAACAGCACGCTCATACAGAAATTTACTAAATGCTTCTTAAATTCCACACAACACACATGTATTAGTCTGAACTAAGAATGTGTTTTCCATGACTCTGTGTTCTAATTGCGTCATTAGAACACAAATGCCTTTTTTAAGTAAAGAGATCTTCTTCAAGATTTTTATCCACTATAGGTCTGTTTCATACAGTATTTTATGCATGTAAAACACCAACAGTATTTTAGATTTTAAATTAAAACACCCATTTGAAAATTTAAAACGCCAACAGTATTTTAAATTCATCCAAAAAAAAAGGGCAAAACATACTAGATCTAAGGAAATGTCATACCTGGTGGAGTGTCTTGCTGTTCTTCCACGGAGGGGACATTTATTTCTAAAAATTAAACAAAGCAACAATCCATTATATGCTGCAGATCATGGCTACGCCAATCATTCTTACAGAATTCACCTCTGATTGTCATAAAAAGCACTAGGACTTGACACCTGAGGACAAAAGAATTAGCTACAGCTGAGAAAAGTTGCAAACTTCCCAATCATTTGCAAAACAGGCTCAGGAGGTGACCCAGCTAACAGCCAGCAGATGGCACCATGACCAGGTTCTCTACAGTTTGGCATCAGACTGGATAAACTAGTGGAGGGATGACCCTCAGCACCTGGCTTCTTCTACAGAGAATGTGTCACTGAAAGGCCATCAGTGTTCTCTCTTAGGGACAGTGGACAGGGTCAGAACCTCATATGTGTGCATGTGCTCTCCCTGCCACCTCCACAAGACACTCCACCTGCTCCTGAGGGAAGATGCTTGCCATAGTTGTGCCACTAAACAATTTAAAAATTAAATTGTAAAAGAATATTAAAATCAAATACCAGGCTCGGTAAAGTTGTTTCGAAAAAAAATTATCTTCGAGATAAATCTGTGTTTTCTTTTTATGCTTTGGGTGCTGTGCACTAAGTAGTGTAAAAGGTCCAAGCCCACTTCACCAAAACCCACCAATCCCTGAGCCCGAAACCCCACCAATACCGGGGCTTGCCTTGATTGCCTCCCACCAATCCCCACTCTGGAAATCTCCACCCTGGAAAACTCCACCCCCAGGAAAACTCATATAAAGTCTGCCTCCTGCTCAGTCCCCTGCTGCTTCCCACCAGAACAGAGACAGCCACCCTCCTGCGCATTTTCCTGTAAATCTCCTGTGTGTGGTTTGTTGTGTGGTGTGACTTTGTGGCATTCCTTTGCTCCAGGATACCTTTCACCTCAGAGCTGCAACACTTGAAATGGGGAACCCTCTCCCCTCAGAGCTGCAACACTAACCAAGGGAAGTCCTTCCCCTCAGAGTTGCAACACTAACCATGGGAAGTCCTTCCCCTCAGAGCTGCAACACTAACCATGGGAAGCCTTTCCCCTCAGAACTGGAACACTAACCATGGGGAGTCTTTCCCCTCAGAATTGGAACACTAACCATGGGAACCCTCTCCCCTCAGAGCTGCAACACTAACCATGGGAAGCCTTTCCCCTCAGAGCTGCAACACTAACCATGGGGAACCCTCTCCCCTCAGAGCTGCAACACTTGAAATGGGGAACCCTCTCACCTCAGAGCTGCAACACTAACCATGGGGAACCCTCTCCCCTCAGAGCTGCAACACTAACCATGGGGAACCCTCTCCCCTCAGAGCTGCAACACTAACCAAGGGAAGTCCTTCCCCTCAGAGCTGTAACACTGGGTAGATTATCAGTCATCTAAATGTAATCCCAAATTCCAGCATTCCCTTTTCCTGTTGGAGTTTCACTATGAGTTTCAGGCCAGCCTGGGCTACATAGAAAAATCAGTTTTTAAAAGCAAATAAGTAAATCCAGCCCCTTCCCCTTATAAAAGTAAAAAAACAAACAAACAAACAAAAAACCAACAACAACAACAACAACAAAAAAAACAAAGTAAACAGGACTGAAGAGATGGTTTAGCAGTCACGAGTACAGCGGACCTGTGTTTAGTTCCCAGCACCCACAGTGGCTCACAGCTGCCTGCAACTCTAGTTCTGGGACTAGAACATGGTGTAGTCTCCTGGCCTTCACAAGCAGCAGATACACACGTGCATGGCAAATACATACATGCAGGCAACATAGTCATACAGATAAAATGAAATTTAAAAATCTAAAGATATAAAGAATATAACAACACAGTTCACACTCCCGCCTGCTGTTAATGCACTAACATCCTCATTTTCTCCCAATCACTGATGTCACACTATCAGAGTGTTATTATTCCAAAGTAAATTAAATTTCCAGCTAGTTCTATCCTGAAAAAAAGCACATTCAACAAACTCATCTGAAAATTTTATTGAAATACCATGTATTTTGGCCTGTAATTTTAAACATAAAACAGCTGATTAGTTCTAGCAACACAGCCTAAACACAGTACCTACTATGTCTCCAAAGCTGACTTTATCATACTCCAGAATTTTCCTCTTTCTCAAAATTTTACTAGATGGTTTAATTTTACATGAGAACTAGTGGATACTGGAAGGCCTCAAGATCAAAATAAAGTGAAACTCAGTGGAAAGTTTAACATGTACAAATGTGCAAAGTGGCCTGCCCCAGCAGATCTGATATCACAGGCAGAAGAGGGAACACACTTGGCCTGCCCCAGCAGATCTGATATCACAGGCAGAAGAGGGAACACACTTGGCAGGAAATCGAGGCAGAAATTCAGCCAACACGCTAGTGGAAATTTAAGATTTCTCATAAATGATCAGATGCTAATCCAATCATGATTTTAAATATAGCAAACCTAACAGATACTGAGATTTTCTGCTAACAGAAAACCTTGCTTGCTTCTAGGTCCCTTTCTAGTTTCCTGACATCAGCCCTCCTGGCTCCTACAGAGATACAATATATTAAAAGTTAGAGGCTAAGATCCACATGAGAGAAAAGAAAGAATAAAAGATCATCTTTATAAAAATAACCTACCTTCTGAAATGATGCTGGAACCTTCTACGGCATTATCTAAAAAAAGAAATAGACCAAACACATTACATTAACTCACCTCCTCTTAGATCAGAGGTTCTCAACCTTCCTAATGCTGCAACCTTTTAACACAGTTCCTCATGCTGTGGTGACCCCCAATCATAAAATTATTTTATTGTTACTTCATAACTGTAATTTTGCTACTGTTATGAATCATAACAGATAAATATCTGTGTTTTCCGGTGGTCTTAGGCACCCCTGAAAAAGGGTCCAAACAGACGTGAACCACAGATTGAGAACCACTGACTTAGACCCCTAAAGTGACTAAAATCTACTCAGAAAGTTTTTTCTGGGTTGGGTCTCCTTATGGGAGACTCCTGAATATTTATATCACAATATCAACTTCAGTTCTAAATTAAATTCAAAAAAAGTTTAATCAGAGAGAGACCATTGTTACTCCTGTTAATGTAAAATAAAAATTCCTCTGTGCTCATGGGTTCTACATCCTCATATTCACCAGCCAAGGAGCAGAAACACCAAGGGAAAAAAGAAAAGTGAGATATACAGACACTGAAGCAATAGAACAACCACAGACAGCAAGCAGATGGCCTTCCAGGGAGGTGATTGACAGCACATGCAAATGGCCTTCCAGGGAGGTGATTGACAGCATGCAAATGGCCTTCTAGGGAGGTGATTGACAGCATGCAAATGGCCTTCCAGGGAGGTTATTGACAGCACATGCAAATGGCCTTCCAGGGAGGATATTGACAGAGCATGCAAACTGTATTCCAGGTAAGTGAGTGACAGAGAATGCAAATGGAATTCCAGGTAGGTGATGCAGGAATGGTTCAAAGGCTTGGGAAAGCAACACAGGTTAGGGGTTGCAAATGCTGTGCTGTTTTATGCAAGGGCCTGGAGTATCTTTCGATTTTGATATCTGTGGGCCGTTTAGCACCAGTCTTACTGTAGACATCATGTTGGACAATCCCTAATTACTTCTTAGTGGCTTGAAAAACGATTGTATTTCCTATATCTCTTCTTTACTGCACAGCTACGCAGGGAAAATACAGTCAACACTGGAAAAGACTCACCTGAAATCTCCATCCCTTCATTTTCTGAATGCTCGTGTACTATGAAGTGAAAGGGGGAGGAAAGATCATGTGGCTCTGAGTACAATAAAAACAATGGACTATGTCCAGCCTTAGCTCATTTATAACTGTTTTAACTTCTAGGCGCATTCTCTAACCATGTGTATTACAGAGCTTGTAATGGGGGAGGAGCTTGGCTAAATGATGTAAAACATTCTGGGTAGCCATGGGAGATGGTAATTTCTTACACTCCTTCCTTCACAGAGGGACGAACAAGCTCCTCCCCCAACCAGTTGTCAGCAAGAGTCACTGTGGACAGCGATTCTCTTTTTTGTCTGCCTGTCTGTGTGAGCTCCAAGACTGCTAATTACCCTGGATCTCAGTTCTTACCAGGCATAGGGATTGGTTCTCAGATGGTAACCTGGGGACAAACGCCCCTGCTGCTATCCTCTTAGTGGAAACCGGCTGACAGGACCTTTAATTTACCATGGTAACCAGGGCCCAGTGCCCATCCCTGCAGCCATCTGTTGACACAGGGCCTGGAGTTTTTGTGCTTTGATGCAAACACCTTGTCCCTGTGGCCCTCCTCCACACCTAGCAGCAAGCCATTCCCTCTCAACTGACCTAAAATGCTTCCAATGTCTGGCACACCAAGAACAAACCTCCTAGTCTGCCTCAATGATAAGAAATCTATCCATCTACACATTAATAAAGAACTGCATTTGACTATCTTTTACATAGTACTCTTGGTATTAGAATACAACCATGTCACCAGCAGTTAGTACTTAAACATGTACCAACAAGCCTCTATGGACCTTAAGAGTGAGGCCAGCTCTTTCTTGGGCCAGGTGACTTTTACCTCACTTCTTCTACCTCAGTCAGAGTTCCTCAGAAACTGACACTGGACCTCCTTTATTCAATCCACTCTCATCAGTGCGGGAAAACGGCCCCCATTGGCATGGAGACAGTATCAAACCCAGGATACTTCTAAGTCCCACTTTAAAGGATCGCTTAGCAACAGGCCTTGCTCCAACCTCCACTACGCTCCACCTTTACCGCCACCGCCCTGCTTTCCTGGAATAAACCGCTGTCATTGCCATCTAATCTGTCCATTCAACCAGCAGAGCAGCACAGGACTCGAACTCGGCTCCTAGAAGCAGCAGGCCCCACCAAATGTCCCTTCCTAGAACTTACCTCCTTTGGGTCCTCAACTGACCTCAATACGACTTGAGAGACAGGCCAGATTTTAGTACCTAAACCATCGAACCATCTAACCATCTCTCCACTACCTACCCTTGTCCCTGGTCCGTCTCTAATTAATTTGTTACACACCAGAGTCATTAACATATCCAGAATGCAGATCTGACTCTGTGGTGCCCCTGCCTGGCACCCCAAGATGAAGATAAAGTTCTTGACCTCCCCTATATATCTCCTTTGGGCATGGAACAAGGGGCTATTTTTGCTCCATCCCTCTCTCACCCCAGGGAATCCATAAGCAGACACCATCAACCACACTCATCTTGGGATACCTAACCCACAAGCCCGCGTGTCCTTTGACCTGCCACGCAGTGAACCGGCTCCCACGAGCACCTGCCAACTCTAACTGAAGTCTGCACCGGAATCATCGGCTAATGTCTTCTTCCTGCTGCACTGTAAAGTCTGTGAGTACGCCAAACACACATGCCCTTCATGACAGCTGCTCCAGCAGCCTGTGCTATTATAAGTAACTCAGTGGGCTAGTGAGGTGTGGCGTCACTTCTTAGGCCATGCACCGTAGACTTGATGCTTCTAGGGACATGTGTGAGGTGGAAAAGTGGTCCTGGTTCCGTCAAACCATGTGTTTACCAGGTTCTGGAGAGTTTGATGGAGAAGGACATGATGTTCTCCTATTATTTCTACCTGATGTAGCTTTACCTATGCACAGCAAAGCGATACAAAGCATCCGACCAAATCCTGGTAGGATCCATTTTGGTAGGTCATAACCACTACTTTTGGTTAACATTTTAAAATAACATTTATTGTAATACACTTCCTGTGAAGAATATTGCCATTAAGTATGATGGCCAACATAACTATTGTTACATTTGATTGTAGATTCCTCTAAAGCTCATAGTAACACTGTAGACCAATCGCGACTTTTAAACGACAGCAACTGAAGAACACAGAAAACTCTCATGGGATATTCAGCTCTTAGCTCTAGAAATAATCTTTAGTGTATAAATTCCCATTTTCTCCTTCAAATTCAAGACTGAAAAGTTAAATGCTACCTCAACGGCCAAGTTTTTTTAATTTTTAAAAAATTTCTATGTAAAGACAACGTAAGCTCATCATTTATGTCCCATTAGAAATGGCCATCATAGATAGCAAAGCTGGTTCTTTCCCGAATCTTAAACACATACATAACAAAGTAGCATATCAAACCTACACACATACTGTAATTTTTAACTTCTCTGTGCACTTTGCCAACTCTCAAGAAGTTGCAACCCCTTAAAGTAGGGCTCCCAAAACCTCAAGGCTCACAGGTCTGATTTCAAAGTTGCAGTCCCCTGCGGGGCAATAGGTCCCGCCCATTTTCTCAGACTGCCCTCTGTCCCTCTCAGCTGATTTCTGTCTCTACACAGCGGTTCTGAAGATGCTCTAGTTAAAGACAAAGTCGTCACAAACTCTACTTCCTGCTCACAGACTCCTGAGCAGTTGATCCGCCCTCCCCACGCTTACTTCTCTTGCCCATAAAGGAGGGAAACAATCCGTTTCATGGAATTCAAGAAAACAGGTCTGGAGGTGACTGCAGACAGGAGTCCAGCAGTGGGAACAGCACTGGCCTGCTCTGCTCCTGCCCAGCCTACATATGAACTCCAGCCAGAGACCAACGCTTGGACCTCTCCACCAGGACAAAATGCCATGCAAGTCACCTCCAGGAGAGGACAGCTCTGTAGAAACAAACTCTGACTGAAGGTCATTCATGTTAGCAAAAAGGAAGGAGCACAAAATGCCATCAATGTTTTAAATAGCTTATAATTGTCATTTGTAAAGATACCATAAGGTATTATTTAGGCAATGGCAGATTCACTGAAATCGGTGAGAATTTTCTCATGTGAATTCTTTCAAGATGGTTGTTGGATGTTGCATGAAAATAATAGCTTAGAACATAATTCTCTGTGTTTTGTAATTAAACTATGAATACATTTAAAAAGTAAGTAAGTGGCTCAGGGTTGAGAAATATTTACAAACCTGGTGCATCATGATTTTGATGTGTTGCTTCCTCTGCAAAAAAAAAAGAAAGAAAAAGAAATGGAGATTTAAGACAATATAAGTATGTATTAAACAAGGTATTAAAGCTTTTTCACTAAAGAAAACAAGGAAAAATCAAATACTAAAAAGCCTTATTTTAATCACAGATTCTAACTAATGCTGAAGTTACAAATGTGTGTCTCTGCCCAAAAGGAAGGAATGTTAAAAGAGGGAAACCATTCTCATAAAAAAAAAAAATCTTGCTAATAATCTAAAAGACTTAGCATAGGTGTCTGCTTTGTCACCATGGGGCAGTAAGGGAGGAGACAGAAGCATGCGATATTCTTTTAATAAACTAACTTTGGTACAGGACAAAAAAAAAAGTCCTACTAAAATTGAATCTTTAGTCTTTGAAAGAAAAAGTCAGCAATTAAACACAGTAACAGCAAAGATCCTTCCCTGACCTAAAAGTGAACGGCAAAGTCCATCTAATACCTGAATCCTGCCGCATCTTATCAGCATCCATTACTGCTTCCCTGGGACCTAAAAAAAAAAGGAAGAGATTTTGTCTAATAGCAAACAGCATACACATCACAGACACCATGCTATAAGAGTCACATGTTAATTCTAACCCGAAAAATCTTGTCAGGCAGATACTGTTGTGGCTTAGATATAAAATGTGCCCAAAGGCTCCTTCCTGTGTTGGAGGCTCAGGCCCTAGTTAGCGGCACTACCAAGAGGCGATTGGATCATAAGGATCAATGAACTAATCCACCAATGAATTCATAGCTGAATGGGCTGTTAGGAGATGGGGCCTTATTAGAGGAAACAGTCATTGTGTCACTGGGGGAGGGTCCTTGAATATATCTTGCTCTCCCTTCACAAGCTTTTTGTGAAAAACGGAGGAGACCAGAATGGTGGGGGAGCCAGAAAAGGGTGGGTGATAGGGATGGACGTGTGTAAACACGTAATGTACACTGCACAAATGGATGAAAACATCATCATGAAAGCCAATATGTTAATGAAACTGAAAAATGTTTTCATCCTTTAAAAGCTACTCTCTCAGCAATTTTGTCACAGCCATAAACACTAACGGATGCACTACTACTCTCTTCTGATAAAATTTCCCACGGCAAAGTCCCCCAAGTTGCTGTCTAGCTGAAGAGACAATTTGGTAAAGAGCAGACTAAAGGTTTCAGCCTCTGCCTCTACGACATCACCCTCTCTTCCATTCTAGCGCCCCTTAAAAGAATCCCAACATGCATCTGAAAATGTCTGTCAGTAACTCTAGGCCTCAGCCAAAGTTGGTTGCTCCAATGTTGCAAATGAGACTTTGGGTGATTGCCCAGGTAGCCAGTAGTCTCTGTCATTTGTTACACATTTAGGAAGTTGTTTGATTGCACTTCCTGTTTACTCAAGTAATATTATTTCCCTTCTCAGGTCTTCAATGGGGTTGAAAACTAGATAATCGTAGTTACTTTCCTCTCATGACTTGGCCAAGCCATTTCTAATACAAAACTTAGACTCCTTAGGATAGAATAATTATTGAAATATTTAGCATATGTTTCTTGCTTGATATTGTTTATGTTGGTTGTAATTCTAATTTTTATACTTGCTATTTGTTCTTTTTGTATATAGTTTTGTATTAGGCTTAGAACTCTCTTATTTAGCAAACAGGCAGGTGCTGTGCGAACTTCTTCAGCCAATGGCCTTTGAGATACTGGCCCACTTGGGTGTGGTCTCTTATACTATAAATGTAGTGATAAAGTTTGCATGTTCTCTCCCAATGGTGTGATAGAAGGCACTTTTCTCTTTATTTACCTTGTAATGTTAAGCAATATGCAAAAAAAGAGCCCTCTGTCATCTAAGGAATATGAACAACTACAAGACCTATGAAGACACCTCTGTGGGAAGTCAGAGTAAACCATTCACCCTGACTTGAGCCTTCCTAAGCCACAACCTCCAATAGAAATACACATTGAAAATTTTAATGTTTACAAACCTGAGCCTTCCTGTTCATTCACCATCTCTTCCACATCGTTTGGATGGTCCTGTGATGCTATGAATTAGGAAACGGGAAATTAAAAATGTCTCAAATAAGGCTTATATATGATCCCTAAAACTGGAAAGCCACAAATCCTGTGATCCACCAAGTTCACTCAGAGAACAAACTTGTATGATCTGTGCCTGATGCCAAAGACAAAGACACGCAGTTCCCAGCATCGGTGCACTTCTCACCCATGACAGGGCAGCAGAGCGCTAGCTCGTGTGGCATATACAGATTCCACTAGGCAGCAATTCACACTGTGTGAGGACACAAAGGTGCCCCCAAAGAGCAGCACAGCTCAGCCTCCTCTTGCTCTGAGGAACCACCTGCCACAAAGGAGCCCCTGTGCCAGGGGTCTTACCAGACCCGACCCAACTGACAATTCCAGTGCTTACACATCCACAGCACTGAAGCGATGTGGGCCCCAAAGGCCACTCAATAATACCAAGAGGGGTTGAAACTCAGAGACGAGTCATGAGCTCTGATACTCGGAGGAAACCTAGTCAAGACAGGCTTCCTGAAAGAGGATGAATCCAGCTTGAGCACAGACAAGCTTTCTAAGGTCTCAAGGCATGCAGGGAACCATGATATAGAACTTTCACCTACTTCAGAATTTAAGGCTATAAAGAACACATGGGCATTGCTTTGTTTCAGATTTTTTTTTTTTTTTTTTTTTTTTTTTTTGTCTCTCTCTCATTCTGCTTTAGACTGGTCTTACTTTATAGCCCAGGCTGGTCTCACAGCAATCCTCTTATTCCAGCCTGACAGATGCTGGGATTATAGGTGTAAGACACTGAGTCCAGCTTGGTTTTACTGTTATTGTTGCTGTTGGTATTGTTGCTGTTATTGGTGGCGGTGGGGGTGGTGGATGTGTGTGTTTTGACGTTTCACTATATAAACCAGGGGAGTTTTGAACTAACAACCTTCCTGCCACCACTTTCTGAGTCTGAAATTACAGGTGCATAACAGCAACACCAAATACAGTTCCTTTGTATATTTTGACAGAGTAATTCTACTCCTTGGGATTTACATTCAGAAAATGAATATAAACAAAATACAAATAGTATTATTAGCTACATGCCATATGATTTATTGAGTAATTTAAAAATACGTAACTCAGGATGCTGCTGGAAGATTTACTGTAATTAATAAAGACTTACCTGTGTCCTCCACATGGTAACTATCCTCAGCTTCTGGGAAAAGAAAAACATTAGACTGAGATTACTACTATCTCATATATGATATGAGATACCTGTCTATTAGAGATATGATATGTCTCTAAGTCTATTTTGAATAATAATTCAGGTAATTCCAATGCTCATTAACGATTTTACGATAAAACTATTAAAATAAAGCATGGAAATATCAGTTAATCTCTATCATTTAATCCCTCCTTTACGTTACATGTCTCTTGCACTCTGTGCCCACCCAGCCTTGGTGGGTGTTGACACACCCCAAAGCCTGGGGTTAAAGAGAGGAAGCAATTCCTGCGGGGAATGCAGGAAAGGTGCAGACTGTTAATCCTCTCCACACCCCACTGCGGATGGATTCTATGGACCTGCTTTATCTACTGCTTTCTAAAGTGCAAACGTGTATTGAAAACACAGATGAAATCAAGAATGGAGATTTGGTATGTTTTCAAAGCTACAGAAGAGCATGCCTTTCTGGTTTGGTTTGGTTTTAATTGGTTGGCTTTGTTATTTTGTTTTCAGATAAGGGCTCATTGGTGGCTATGGCTGAAATGGAACTCTCTACAGAGAACAGGCTGGCCTAGAACTCACAGAGATCCACTTGCCTCTGCCTCCTGAGTGCTGGGGCTAAGTGCATGTACCACACCACACCAGGGTTTCTATTTGTTTTTGCAACAGGGTCTCAGCACCCAGCCTGGCTTCCAGCTAATGAACTGTAGGCGTGTACTACCACATCTGCCCAGAAAATGTCTGGGTCACTGAGCTTACTCAGACAATAAAAATGCCATCCTTTAACTCTCACCACTAAGACCTTTGTGTATTTTAGACATCCTGCGACAATTTCATACATGTACAGAATATGTTCTGATCACGTTTGTTCTCCATCACTTTCTCTTTATTCTCTGCAGTCCCTACAGAGCCCGTCCTTCCAACAAGGCCACTCTATTCTCTCTTATCCGGTTTTTTATGGTTCAATCTTTGTATATTTTATTTTACAGATTAGAAGATGCAAATATTCTTAATCTCTAAAGACTTTCAAAGATAAAACTTTTTGTTTCAAATTTAATCTGTTTTGATTATAGATGATGATAGAAAATAAGATTTCTTTAACCTAGAGACTACTTAAAAGTGTTTCTTCCTGTCTAGAGCTGACCTCCCAACCTTGTTGATATTACATCCTTCCTGCTTCAGATAATATCAAATCCATGTGAACTGCAGGAATTTGCCGGGTTAGCAGCACCTCACTAAAACTTCTGGCCACTGTAAACCATTTTGAGTTATCTTAGCCAAAGACAAGAGAAACAAGCGTGATACCAAGAAAACGGGGACATCGTTGCTGGAGCATTTTTACTCTGAAATTAGAAACATGTTCCTATGGAAACCATGACATAAATGATGAGTTTGGAAGCTACACCTTGTCCATCAACACCTATCTTCAATGTAAAATGCAGCTGAAATCAGTTGTATATTCACAAGCAGTTTGGTCTGCATTTCTGACAGACAAAAAATATTCACTCTATAGATTCCTGACCATTGACACGGATGCTGCCCACCAAGGCTATTGCTTTTCCTATGGAGAATGCCTCTCCTGCTCTGAGCAGGCTTCAATGACAGTTTCTGGGAGATCTCATACATACATTAGAAGCTGCCCAGCACTAAAAAAGCTCTTCAGCATATTATGTCAGAAGTATACACGCTTTGCTTTTTGTGACTTGCAGTTTTTACAGCCATTTATGAGCTGGCTTGTAGGTAGAGGTTCATAGAAACACAGCCGTGTTTACTCTCAATTAATTACAGTTGATGATTGTCTTTATGCAGCTAAGAGCTCCAGGATCTATTGAACCCCCCACTAATTGAAAACACTTGCTGCCTGTGACTTACGAAACTATCTGGGGACACGTGCTGTGGAAGCTACAGATAGGGAGACAGCAGCACTGTTGGAACAAAAGCCAGGCACAGACAGCAAGTCCCAGAGGGGCATCGTGAATGCAACGCAAGGCACCTAGGGGGCGCAATGGAGAAGTTCCCTCAAGCACTGCACCTACCATTATCAGAAATCCACCTATTATGAGTTTCCTTCAAGCTTTGAAAGAAAACGGGCATCATTTTATCTTAGAGAAAAGTTCATTCACTTTGAAGCACTGACTGAGCTTCACTCTCAAAATATTTAGATAAAATTAAACATTGCTCGTAGAGGAATTTTAGGAAACATTTTAATAATTACACTATAAACTATCAACTATTTTATTTATTTATTTTATGACCATGGGTGTTTTGCCTGCATACATGTCTGTGAGGATGTGGAACTGGAGTTACAGATAGCTGTGAGCTATCATGTGGGTGCTGGGAATTGAACCTGGGCCCTCTGGAAGAACAGCCAGTGCTATTAAGCACTGAACCATCCCTCCAGCCCCTCTAGGAACTATTTTAAGACAACTGTGTGCTACCTTCATGAGCTGCCCCAGGTTCCAGGGTCTCAAATCTGTCCTCTTCCTCAGTCACTGTGAGGACGTCCTCAGCCTCTGGCTGTGGCTCTCCTGCGGCTCCATCTGCTTCCAGCTGTGGGGCTTCAACAAGGAGAGACAGTGAGCAAGGGGGAACAGCAAGAGCCCACAATGGCAGTCAACCTAGACAGGCCGTCTGCAGCGGCCCACGAGCCTCGGCCATTGGCCCCTCGCAGGCCATTTCCTCACTCTGGTCAGTTTCATCTGGAGAGTCACTTCTCGTTACAATGGGAACTCACACAGACAGTCACCTCGTCCTGTTGCTCCCTCCACATACTAAGCAGGCAGGACCATGAGCGGCCAATGGAGATGCTCCTAAGTACTCGATGAATTAACATATGAATGTATAATTATTAATACATACATCTCTTTCATGATCCCTGAGTCAGGAGAAAGGTCACACCAAGACCTTTCATTGAGAACTGCCAAATTCCATGTAGCAACTATAACTGACGACGTGCATGTTTTAAATGCGGAGAGCAGCTGCCTGCTAATTCTTATCGCTGCCCCCCAGACACACCTCACATTGCGCATCTAAATGGACCCAGGCTTAGCTTTTCTCTTTAGAGACAGAAAGCAATGTGCTGACTGCTGAGTGAACAAGCTACATGATTCCATGCCACTATAGTTTGGACTGTGACCCTGCCCTCAGGTGACCCGACAGTAACTTGCAGGGCTCCCAGCAGACTACTTTTTAGAAACCATAATCCATTTGAATAACCTGAGTGAGCTGGACTAGGCTGGTTGGGAGTCTGGAGTCTCTCAGGCTCTGGATTTCGGCTCATTACACCAGTTGTCTGAGTGGAGATAAATTATCTACTCCATGCCTGAGATTTCCTTCCACAAAACTGGAACAATAATTCTCTATTAAGAGTACTGGTAAGTGGATGAAAAGACCTAGGGATATGCCTGGCCCATCATCAGTCTCTAGTGTGGTCATGACCATTACAATTACTGTAGACAAGGTTCTCTCTACTGCTATTGAATTACCCCCATGACCACAAGAAACACATTTTAGCTATTCTGCATAGTGTGGCATGATGAAGCTCAGTTTCATTGAATCATATACACCTATTTCTGTAGATACTTCTATAGAAGGTAACCCTTATCTGCAGTTTTGCTGTCTGAAGTTTCATTCATCTGGAGCCAACCACAAGGAAACCTTAAAATCCAGGAATAAACAGTTCATTCATTTTTAAATATGTTCAATTCCTAGTAATGGAATCCCTCTTCATCCCTCTCCATCCATGTAACTGTCCATGGAAAAAGCCTCTATAAGGGTATAAACCGGAAGCAAGAAGGTTCAGCAGGGAACTCGGACCTAGGATTCTTTCCTTTTCGGGTGACCTGTTCATCACACACACCTTAGCCACTGTGCTGTTACAAAGAGCGGCTGCACCTTCCCACTCCCCACTTCCCAGTCTGCATCCCCATCCTTGTAGAACTGACTTTCCCAAGCCATCTTGACTTCATAGCTTGTTTCTGTGCCGCAGAGACGTGCTCCTGCCTATTCTGGATTCAGACTGTAGGCAGAACAGACTATACTCTGACACACCTTCCAGCAGTTTCAATTCCTCTTCAAAATAAGTGTCTTTTTCTACCCTCACTCTACCCATGCATCTCATGTGCCAGCAATTCTGACTATGTTCACATTCTTGCTGTCCCAGCCAGGCGAAGCACCTTCTGCTCTAAGATGAAATGCATTCTTTCCAGCAAGCTTCTAAACAGTCCATGAATCATCATGGCAGTTCTCAGTTTATTGCACTGAATCCAATGCTTAGATTTCATCTTCCTTGTGCCTGTGCTACGTGCCAGGGAGAGTTAGAGCCTGTGTGTGTCATGGGAAGAAACACATTCAAGTGACAGAGCCTGCACACAATTATAAGGGACAATCCTTCCTACATTCCCAGTAGCCATCAGCAATGCCCAGTCAAAATGTGAGGTACTGTTTTCATGAGATAGGCTTCCCTCGGTTTTACTAAGACAACAGGATACCAGGGTATAACATCTTGCCCCTTCACAAGCCCTCACAAGTTACATTATGGGGTCCTGCTGTCTGTCTGCTTTAATCAGGAGGTGTTTCTAGGAGTATCCCTATGCAACCCTGGCATGCTGATTTCTGGATTATCATACTATATTCTCTATGCAGATGCCACCGCAAGAAACCTGGTCCATGCTCTGGGAGGACACTCCCCAGTCTCTTTGGCAGCATGACCCGTAAAACTGTCTCTCATGTTTTGATTGGGTAAACCAGTCAAACATCAAGAAAACTGTGAGGATGAACCGTCGCTCCAGTGGTTCAGCTGAGAAGCCCCTGAGGGTGGAGGATCACTGTTTCAGAGGGTGGAGCACCTCTCCTCAGGACAGAGGATGGCTCCTGAGGGTGGGGGACCACTGTTTCATGGGGGCATCTCTCCTCGGGACAGAGGATGGCTCCTGAGAGTGGAGGACCACTATTTCAGAGAGTGGAGCACCTCTCCTCGGGACAGAGGATGGCTCCTGAGGGTGGGGGACCACTGTTTCAGGGGGGCATCTCTCCTCGGGACAGAGGATGGCTCCTGAGGGTGGGGGGGCACCTCTCCTCAGGATAGAGGATGGCTCCTGAGGGTGGAGGATCACTGTTTCAGAGAGTGGAGCATCTCTCCTCAGGACAGAGGATGGCTCCTGAGGGTGGAGGACCACGCCAAGCAAGCAGCCAGAGCTCACTGGCCGAGTTGCCCACTCCACTCCGACTCTCCCATTTATTCTTGATGGAACACTGGCCTTGAACTATTTACATTCATTTATTCATATGGCTTTAAAACTAAATATGCTCATAAAATTCCTTCACAGTGAGGTGGGATTTTATAAAGTATGTCCAGTGCTTTCCCCCCAAGAAATAATAGCTGACCTATAATTACTCGGAATGTAGTTATAGGAACTCAACTATTTTCATAACTTGTGTGAAACAGAATTGAATTCATACCATATTCTGTGTGTTCTTGTTCCTGGAGAAGGGACTGAATTTGTTCTTTTACTTCATCTTCAACATTTTGGACTTCTAAAATAATTATAAAACATAACACAATAATATAACTGTCAAGTATTAGTGGAAAATGTGAAGACTTAAATATGGCATTTGCACATATATTAAGACGAGTACACTTGACTAAGAGGCTGTGTAATTTTCCATATCCATATGCTGCCTCCTCCCCTACATCAGCAAACATAACAGATACTTACAATTAGCCTTATTTGTTCAGCAGACGTAAATACTGAGAGACATTCAAAGAGACATTTAACGAAAACTAATTCAAGTATAGACTTTTTTCTTTAAAAAGCAGTCTAAGAGAATGCTTTTAGTTTCCAATTAATAAATCTTCCATTCATGTCAACAGAAAGCAAGGATGAAGCTTTCATAAAGAGGGGACTGGAAGAGACCAAATTCCACCCAGACTAAACAATGTGACCAATGCCTGCTCTCCTGACCGTCAGGAGGAAGGGCACCCTTGGTGGAATGAGGATCGGAGTGAGTAGGATTGGCTGATCCACCAATCTGAAGCTTGCGTGATAACGACCACCCTGTCAGCTCCAGAAAAGTGCATCTGAAAGACAGACCCCAGGCTCAGATAATTATGACTTACAAAAGTGGAGTTACTGATGACATTCCGGCAACACCATAGTGCTTATCAGCCTACAACCCAGATAAACCCCAGCGTTACACAGCAAATAAACTGTGGGCACCACGACACTGTCACGGGTTTGCTGACATAATCTAGACTTCCTCCCAATATCATGGGTGCTGCGTGTGAAATAACGCCAGTGGCTGGAGTTACAGTGAAGCTCAAATCTTCAGTGACAGGCAGAATAAACTCGGGCAGCAGGAAAGTTTAACACATGCTAGGCTCATTGCTTAATAAAACATGCTAAAGCATACAGCTGTTTTATTTGTTTGGTCATCCATATAGATCTCCTGACATAATTATAATATAGACAAGTTCCTAGTCTTTACTCTCACTGTCTCCCAGTGTTTGTGACAGTCTCCTATTGGGGCCCATTCCAACAGTGCTGAAAAATCATCCAATGGACGAAGAGTTTCTAGGCATGGCATGGGGTGTGCTCGTTACTGACATCCTAGACAGGAAACCTGAAGTGTCACGAACGGAGAACTACAAGTGTGGGCCCTACCAGACCTTTCCAGACTCGTGTGTTACCAGCCCTGGTTCTGAACTCAGTGAATGCTCCCTGGCATCTCATTTCTGACTTTACATGTCTTCGTCTCCTCCCATGGCGATGGTGCAGAGGTCTACCCGGACCACAATGGGTGAAAGAATGAACAGCAAATAAATGAAAAGGGTAAGTGGGTGTAGTGAGCTCTTTCCAAAGTGTCGTTGCTATAGTGAAGAGAGGAGCCAGTGGTAGATGGGAGTTAGGAGGGCATTTTACTGAGAGATAAGTATCTGTAGTTGCCAAACAGATAGAAGGAGCCAGAGAAGGGAAGAAGAACTAAAGGCTCAGCAAGGGAAAGGCTGAGAGAGCAGAGTGCAATCTGAACACAGTGCCATGGAGCTGCAGAGAATGAGGCCAGCAACAAACCAGGGGGTCGGGTAACCTGCAATCGTTTGTAAAGAATCAGACCAACAACAAAAAGAATGGGAAACACATGGCACATCTCAGATCCAGTACCAGACTCGCTTAGAAACTAGACTTCTTCAAATTACAAATCTGTTTAGCAAAAGTAAAATATTAAGTGTTAAATTCAAATATTTAAATTAAAAATGTTGACAAAACCCAGTATGGATTCTGGAGCCATATTCCAATTACATAGGTGTGAGATGGAGATAATAAATTCTCCTAGGGCTCTGAAATGAACAAATAACAAAACTTAGAGTAATATATGTTCCTTGAAGAAATGAAGCAAAGAAAATCATAAAGCATTCATCAGCACAGTTTGGGCCATAAATTGTTTTCAATAAACATGTCATATCTAGAGCTCCCAATAGGGGGCACAATGAAACCAATTTTCTTATGTATTGCTAGAAAGACAAGTACTGAACCATGCCCCAAGCAGAAAACCATGGTAGTAGATTAAAATTTTATGCAGCAATTTATCAAAATACCTCAACGTTTCCAAACTATGAGTTAAAGTCCCTTTATGGAAATACTATGACCTGCTCTAAGATGCCACGGCGACAGAAAGAGCATGTCAAGGTCTAAGGAAGCCTTCCACGTAGACCAGGTCCTCATGAATCCCTGCTGAATTCATTCATGTGGCAGTCATCCATGTACCAGGCTGTGTAGAGTTCGTGTTCGTTTTTACTTTGAATGTAATGTGGTAAAAGACACACTTGGCTGCTGTTGTTTCTAACTGCATGGTCTTCAGTGATGCACAACCGTTTATGCCTTGGAATCTTGGTTACAAAAATTAAAACACTCCTGCAGGCGTTTCCACAACTAAATTGATTGCTGTGGCTTAAGAAAAGAAGAATTTGTAGCTCACTTTATTAACAATGCTAACAGCTGGGTGAGACGTGATGGCTTAGGTGTAAAGATACCCACAGGCCAGGCGTGCCCTAGAGTCTCCAGGACACTTACCTGCACCCTCAGCAGCCTGCTTCTCCAGTTCAGCCGGTAGCTCAGCCTCCTCTGGTGGGGACGTCCTCTCTGAAGCAGATCTTTCTTGAAGTCCTGCATTTTTTATTCATAGTGTTAACTGCCGCTTCTTTATAAATCATTTTTACATATTAAATCAGGAAAAATAATTTTCAAATAGTTGACTAGTGGTGCTAGGAATTCACTTTCCAGTACTGTGTTTCAAACAGAAGAAAGTTCTCCCTTTCACCGCACAAGGGTCTCCCGTGTGTCTAAGACTCTTTTAAGGGCACTCATGAATATTTACAACATATAGCCACATCTAACCTTGACAACAGCGTTCAGTGTGGCTCCAAGCCCCTCTCCTGGCTGAGAGGAGGAGGACTGCCTAAGGGAAAGTTCAGATCTCAGCAGGAAGCATCAAGACACTCAGGAATCTGAGTCAGGCATTCCAGACTTGAATTGCCCTGCAATGTCTGATTCTTCTGGGAATACTACAGGTTAAATAAACCACATGTAACTCACTATCTACAATTTTCTCAAAGGACCACCTATAAGCAATGGTTTTTTGTTTTGTTGTGTTTTGTTTTCTGAAGCTAAAACATATCACAAAAAATCCCTTGTTTAAAAAATAAAGAAAATAAGTCAGGGGAGAGAGTTAATATGAAACTGATTTTAAAGTCACATAAATACTAAGATAGTGCTTTGATGCTTTGCGCGTGGAACATTAGATAAAACCTCACTTAAGTATAGTGTGTAGGAAACAAAAGCGTGACCAAGAGTCCAATTCTGCTTACTGGACCCTGAGTTTCTCTGCTCTCACTGAGGAGGAAGGAGTGTGCCGTCTGGGAAGATGTGTGCACGGTGGTCCTCAGTGCAAGGTCAGGGCACGCTCTGCACTCTGGGAACCCTAAGCACCGCAGGACAGCTAATGTCCACGGTTCCCTTATCTCAACTCCATGCATTTTACTTTTTTACTCTTTGCCCGCTCTCCTATTCTTTCCATCAGATACCACTTCTGAAACCTTACAGAGACATTGCAAAGGCGGCCTCCAAGACTGGCTGTCTTCTACTACCCCATTTTTAACACGCTGTGCACACAACACCACCACACAGGGCTGTGTTCTACATGTCAGTGTGATCTAACTAGAAATATAAAATAGATTTCAAGATTTCAAATTAGTTCACTTCCCGAGACTGTGGATAGGGATGGACACCTTACAACCCCTCACATCTACTTAAACACAGGGTGGAGACGACTCTACTTTCTCATTTAAATACCCCTTCCCCCACCTCTCACCTGGCAGTGGACTGGGAACCATCAATGAAGAAATTGTACTAAATCAATAGGGAAAAACTCATGGGGTTTGTCATTGCACCCCGTACTTCCGCCAACAGCTGGCCACAGCAATTGCTCCTGAAAGGCCTGCTGAAGGGCTAGGGCATGCAGGGGGTCCACTCCACTAGCTCAGTGCTGCAGGGGCTCACTGCAGGGCAAGAGCTCTATATACCTGGTGGGCACCGTGATGTGGGGGGAGAAATGGGGATGGCATCCATCTTGTTGTTATTACTGTTTACCAGAGATCCCTCTGCTAGTGCCCATTTCTGTAGTAGAGGTAGTCTCCCTGGGGTGGGAACGGTGTGGGTCAGGTGTCCTGGGATAGTTCTATTCTCAGAAGTGTCTTGGAGTTATAAAAGGTGACAACCTCACCCTTCACTAACATACACTCAGTGAGTTTTCAAACTGGCCTCCATTTGTGCAGAGAGCAATGATATAGTCCCCGTCAAAGGGCAGATTCAACTGCCTGAAAGCCCAATCTTACCTAACTTGAAAAAGTCCATTTCATTGGGAAAATTAATAAATGTTTGAATAAGTGTTTGAAAGCGACCAGTATACGTTTTCAGACACAATACACAAAAGAGCCTTCCTTCTGTAACTCAATAGGAGCCATTTGTCTTTACAATCCAAAGGGTAAAATATGGAAAACAGAACAAGAGACAGGGAAAGGACCCAGGAGGAGAAAATGCTGCACAGCTTCATTACTACCCAAATGACACCCGCTGTAGCCGCAAACGTCAGTCAAATGACACCCGCTGTAGCCGCTCACGTCAGTCAAATG